TTTTTAGATGGAGTTTCACTTTTGTTGCCCTGGCTGGAGTGCAATGGCACAATCTCAGCTCACTGCAACCTCTGCCTCCCAGTTTCGAGTGATTCTTCTGCCTCAGCCTTCCGAGTAGCTGGGATTACAGGCATGTACCACCATGCCTGGCTAATTTTGTATTTTTAGTAGAGATGGGGTTTCTCCATGTTGGTCAGGCTGGTCTCATACTCCTGACCTCAGGTGATCTGCCTGCCTCGGCCTCCCAAAGTGCTGGGATTACAGGCGTGAGCCACCAGCCCGGCCTACATGTAAGTTTTCATTTAATTCCCCGGAACAGCCATGTCAAGGGGGGATTATTAGTGACCCATTTTTAAAAATGAAGCACAGGTTCAGAGATGTTTAATTATTTGCGTTTGTTCATATATTCAGAAAGTGGCGTGATTAAGACTAACTAGACCAACCACAAAGTCCAGAGGGGCAGGGATTGTGTCTGTCTCTATCACTGCATCCCCAAACCTAGCCCATTGTTGAATGACTAAATTAGCCTGAGAATTTCTTTAGATTCTAATACATATATTTGGTAGAGATGGGGTTTTGCCTTGTTGCCCAGGCTGGTCTCAAACTCCTGGGCTCAAGTGATCCATCCGCTTCAACCTCCCAAAGTGTTGGGATTACAGGCATGAGCCACTGTGCCCAGCTTATTTTCTATTTTAACTTTTTGAGACAGGGTCTCACTCTTATCACCCAGGCAGGGGTGCAGTGGCATGAACACAGCTCACGCCACCTCCACTTCCTGGGCTCAAGTGATTCTCCTGCCTCAGCCTCCCAAGTAGCTAGGATTACAGGTGCACACCACCATGCCCACCTAATTGTTTAATTTTTTGTAGAGATGAGGTATCACAACATCCTCACAATGTTGGGTCTCTTTGTTGCCCAACCTGGTCACAAACTCCCAGGGTCAAGTGATCTGCCTACCTTGGCCTCCCAAAGTGCTGAGATTACAGGCTTGAGCCACCATACTCGGCCAAGGACCACTTTCATAGTGTTCAGTGAAAGAGGTATATTTATACATAAAATCAGCTCAATAAACAAAAATTCAGCAGGGCACAGTGGCTCATGCCTGTAATCCCAGCACTTTGGAAGGCCGAGGCAAGTGGATCACAAGGTCAGGAGTTTGAGAACAGCATGGCCAACATGGTGAAACCTCGTCTCTACTAAAAACACAAAAATTAGCTGGGCCTTGTGACATGCCTGAAATCCCAGCTACTCAGGAGGCTGAGGCAGGAGAATCGCTTGAAACCAGGAGGCAGAGTGAGCCAAGATCACATCATTGCACTCCAGCCTCGGTGACAAGAATGAAACTCCATCTCCAAACAAACAAACCCAACACAAATTCAAGTCATACAAATGCAAAGATACACCTTCTTTGCTTGGAATTTAACTTTCAGTGTTTTTTCCAGGATCTGGGCTACAGCCCTGGACAATTACAGAAATGGGAAAAGTCTGCTCCATGGCTTGCCCTGCCTTAGAGCTCCTGTGTGTTCCCCGGTACCTCTGTGCACTCTGTGCAAGTAGAGATACTCCAGGTACTGACATAGTCTGCCTCTCCTGGAGCCAGGAAAGAAGCTGGACAGCAGAGGGCGTCGAAGAGCCATGAACCTTGCCTCCACTCAGTTTATAATGGGCGCTGAGGCCAGAGAATTTCTGAGAGAAAGCTAGGGATCTTGGGTAGTCTTTTTAGGCCTCAGGTGCTGTCATTCTATAGCAATTTCTCTTCTATCATTCATTCTTCATTCATTCATTCATTTATAGGGTCTTGCTCTGTCACCTAGGCTGGAGTGCAGTAGTGTGATCACGGCTCACTGCAGTCTCCACCTTCCGGGCTTAAGCAATCCTCCTGCCTCAGCCTCCTGAGCAGCTGGGACCACCACTGGGCGCATCACCATGCCCAGCTAATTTTAAAATTTTTTGTAGAGACAGGATGTTGCTGTGTTGCCCAGGCTGGCCTTAAACTCCTGGCCTTAAGTGATCCAAGACCTGCCCGCTCAATCACTCTTCTTTTCTTCAGAAACCTGAGTGACACCTGAGAGGCAGCCAGGGGAAGAGACTGAACTATCTGAAGTCAGAGCTAGTTTTGAATTTCACTGCATCCTTTTGAACTGAGTGACTTTAGCTAAACAGCTCACTGGGCTTCAGTTTGTCTCTCTACGTATGAGGAAAGATAATGAATTCTGTTGTGCAGAATTTGTCTCAGGAGCCTCTTACAGGGATTAAGGTTGAACAACAATTCCAGGGACTGTCCTTGGCACTGGAGTGTCCACAAGGGGCAAAAAGCGAACACAGCTTCCGGCCTCATAGAATTTATAGTTAGGTAGGGAAGACAGTTTTTAATCAACTGACCCCACAGACAGATTGCAAGTTACACCTGTGCAAGGAAGTGCAACAAAGGTGTGGTCTCAGAGCCTGGGGAAGAGGAAGTGCCCAGGCAAGATTTCCCTAAGGAAGTGAGGCGCGAGTTCAGTCTGAAGGATGAATAGGAGTTTACTAAGCAAAAGAAGAAAAGACTTGCAAGAAAACGAAGAAGCTTATGTAATGCCCATACGTGTGGGAGCCTGCTGCAAGGCTGACGGGAATGCAGGGAATAGAGAACAAGGTGGAGCGTGGTGGGGGAACGTGGCTAGAGAGGTAGGGGTTAGATCACGCAGGAGTCAGATCACACATTAGCCTTAGAACAATGGGAAACCATGAACAATTATAATCACAGGTTTTGAACACATTTTCATTCTGAAAAGGTTTCTTTGGTTGCAGGACTCAACCCTTCGCCGTCTTTCCCTCAATGCATCCTCAGGTACTGAAGTCACTGAGTTCGGCAGCTGATCCTTCCTCTTTTTCCCTTGCATTGCTCAATATCTCCCATGGGGACTATTTCAATGGACTCCTGTTTTCCCTGGCTCCAGTCTCACCTCCTCCACACAAAAAGCTTGATCTTATTTGATCTTCGCAACATGCCTGAAAGTAAGCAAAGTTGCAAGATTTATCCCTATATAACGGATAAGAAGTCCAGGCGAGGTGGTGCATGCCTGTAATCCCAACACTTTGGGAGGCCGAGTCAGGTGGATCACCTGAGGTCAGGAGTTTGAGACCAGCCTGGCCAATACGGTGAAACCCCATCGCTACTAAAAATACAAAAACTAGCAGAGTGTGGTGGTGCATGCCTGTAGTCCCAGCTACTTGAGAGGCTGAGGCAGGAGAATCACTTGGGCCTGGGAGGTGGAAGTTGCAGTGAGCCAAGATAGTGCCACTGCCCTCCAGCCTGGGAGACAGAGCCAGACTCCGTCTCAAAAAAAAATTACAAAAAATTAGCTGGGCGAGGTAGGAGAATTGCTTGAACCCAGGAGGCAGAGGCTGCAGTGAGTGGTTGCTCTCCAGGCTTGGGAACAGAGCAAGACTCCATCTCAACAACAACAAAAACTTAATGTGTTGTCTGCAGCTGTTATATTATGAATAATACAAAAATCGAGTAAATATTCTTCCAGTATTTGAAACTGTTTTAGCAAAGAAGTCGCTCCCATCATTAACAATCCAGTTTTGTCTTTTCCACTTCTACCAAACAACATTTACGTTACAATTACGCTCCTTGGTCAACTGCAACCACAGTTTGGCTAACCATATAAGAGTTTGGCAAAAATCAATGAAAGCATTCTGTGTGAGTTATATGGAATTTGCCAATTGACTATTATTTGTAAATCGTGAGCTACACATCCTTTATGTCAGCAAAACTTAACAATAAATTTATGTACCTATATATGTGCATACATTCCCTTTCTCCCCTCAGAGAGCTGGTTGTTACACATTTATCAGTACAGCACTGGGTCTAGAACACGATTCATGTAGTGATTACACATTCACTGAGTACCAGGAGGGAGATACAGATTAACGATGAAATGACTCAGCCAAGGTCACACATTGCAAGCGACACAGGTTCGGAGAACCATAGGTGCTTCCAAGGCCAGCGGCTCTCTCATAGGACCAGACCACGGTTTCCAAGGCCTCTCCATCCTACAGAATGGGATAGCCTGAGCCTGGACGCCCAGGAAGTGAAACAGAAACGGCCGGGAAAGGCTACCAACGCCAGCCGACAGGCAGCTTACCGCCAATAGCGGCCGGGGACGCGCGCGACGTCACTAGCCGTTGAGGCCAGCGCGAGCACGCCCTGGGGAAAGAGGCGTGGCTAAGCCCTTCCGGAAGTGACGTTTGGGGGCGGTGCTCGACTGTGGCGGAGCGCGGCCTGGGCTCGCGCAGGGCTCCGCGCGCCCCCCCGCCCCCCTCTATGAGGCAGAGGCCGCGGCGGCCGTTAGTGCTGTCGCTCCGGGGGCCGCGGCGGGCGGGGCTCCGGCGGGGCCCGGCCTAGTCCCCACCCCAGCCCGGCTCCCAGCCGCCCGCCCTCCCTCCCTCTCCCCAATGCAGGGGGCCGAGCTCCGGGAAGGCGAGGCGGCGGCGGCGGCCGCTTCGTACCGCGTCCTGAGCCGCCTCCTCGGCTATGGAGAGGCGGCCCCCGAGCCAGGCCCGCCGCCGCCGCCCCCGGGCCATGGCCTCCCGCCGCCACCCTTCCTCGCGCGGCCCGGCCCGCGCGGCTCCCGGCCGCCGCAGCTGATGGTGTTCCGCAACGTGGGTCGGCCGCCGGAGGAGGAGGACGTGGAGGCGGCCCCGGAGCCGGGACCCTCGGAACTACTGTGTCCCCGGCACCGCTGTGCCCTGGACCCCAAGGCCCTGCCGCCGGGCTTGGCGCTCGAGCGGACCTGGGGCCCGGCGGCTGGACTAGAGGCGCAGTTGGCGGCTCTGGGGCTCGGGCAGCCGGCAGGGCCCGGGGTCAAGACGGTCGGTGGGGGTTGCTGCCCGTGCCCGTGCCCCTCTCAGCCGCCCCCTCCGCAGCCCCAGCCGCCTGCTGCCGCCCCGCAGGCCGGGGAGGATCCCACGGAAACGAGCGACGCGCTGCTGGTCCTGGAGGGCTTGGAATCGGAGGCCGAGAGCCTGGAGACTAACAGCTGCTCGGAAGAGGAGCTCAGCAGCCCGGGTCGCGGAGGAGGAGGGGGCGGCCGGCTTCTGCTGCAGCCCCCAGGCCCTGAATTACCTCCGGTGCCCTTCCCGCTGCAGGACTTGGTCCCCCTGGGGCGCCTGAGTAGAGGGGAGCAGCAGCAGCAGCAGCAGCAGCAGCAGCAGCAGCAGCAACCTCCCCCGCCCCCGCCCCCTCCCGGCCCCCTCCGGCCTCTCGCGGGCCCTTCTCGGAAGGGCTCCTTCAAAATCCGCCTCAGTCGTCTCTTTCGCACCAAGAGCTGCAACGGTGGCTCCGGTGGTGGGGATGGGACCAGCAAGAGGCCTTCTGGAGAGCTGGCTGCTTCAGCTGCAAGCCTCACAGACATGGGAGGTTCTGCGGGCCGGGAGCTGGACGCGAGGAGGTGAGAACGGCCAGGGGCTGGCGACAAACTTCCTTTTCTTGTTTGGTTTCCCTTTTTATCTAATGCTGACGCGATCCTGACAGTTCTTAAGTTAGGGTCTTCAGGAGGAGGCACTTGGGACCAAAGGTGGTAACATCTTGTATTGGGTCAGAGCTAATTGTGGAAACAGCTTTCGCTCTTAAAGAGTGCACACTCCATGACACTTCTCAGCTGGTCTGCATCTCTCTTGTTGGAAGATGGTTTCAGACCATCTCCCATCCCCACCCTAGCATGGCTTTTTAAGTTTTTCCAAGGCAGCCGTCTACCATTATCCCTGGGAGGGAGATTGCTGGAAATGTTTGGCCTTTGGGGCAAAAAGCTGATGTTGCATCTTGACCGCCTTGTTTATTCTGTGTACCAGCACGGCACCCCCCTTTCACACTCATGCAAGCAAATGAGAGGAGGTTCTTCAAATGCAGTTGTAGACCATCAATCAATTGGACATCTCTGTTCAAAGTTTTAATGTTTTCCTGGTTGTTCCCTTAGATAAACTTGACATATCAAACTTGTGTGCTGACCACTGTCTCTGAGAACAGAAAAAAGCAGGCCGGGCACAGTGGCTCACACCTTTAATCCCAGCACTTTGTGAGGCTGAGGAGGGCGGATCGCCTGAGCTCAGGAGTTTGAGACCAGCCTGGGCAACATGTGAAACTCCATAGCTACAAAAAAACCCCCAAAAAAACAAAGAATTAGTCCGGAGTGACCACAGCTACTCTGGAGGCTGAGGCAGGAGGATCGTTTGAGCTTAGGAGGCAGAGGTTGCAGTGAATAATGATCATGCCACTGCATTCCAGCTTGCATGACAGAGTGAGAGCCTGTCTCGAGAAAATAGCTTTGCGCTCTCTCATGGCCATTTGAGAATTCTAAATACCAGTGAGGTATAGACATTGGTACATGAGCTCTGGGCCAATTGATGAAAATTCCAAACTCAGACATTGAGTTTTTTCCTGCATTTCTGAAGGGTGGACTGATCTTTGACATCCAGTGTTAGATCTGTAGCATTGGTTACAAAGCTGTCAATTTTGGTGTTGGTGAAATGAGGCTTCCCTTGTGGTAACTGCCACTGTGGTTTGTACTTCTCTGAGCAGGTTCTCAGAAAGAATTGGTTTTCTTGTGGTTTACATGATGGATTCTTGAGACCTATTGGCAGCCACAAGCCAAGGCTAAAAAACAGGTATAAATTGATAACCTTACTGTGAACTAGGAGCTTTTTGGGGAGCTTTTTGAAAAGCCTAAGAGTGAATTTTTTGAAAGCTCCCCAGGTGATCCTGAATTGGGAACCACTCATTGTGTACTTCTGTTTTCAAGGGAGTACTCCAAGAGGTTGGGTGGATTTGGCTTTCTTGCCCTCACTGAACAGCTGTGCCATGGGCTCATCTTGGGGATCAGGCTAAATCCAAACTTTATTAAAAAAATCAGTGGGTTGCCCCTTTAGGTAGACCAGTGTTTCTGCCTTTGCCTCCCAGTGAATTCATGCTGGGAGTTCAGATCTTGAAAAGTGTGTGGCTGCTGAAACAGCTTTTTTATGGTAGGCTCTGTATTCAATGCTCCACTTACCAGCACAGATGAAATTTTCATCAGATGCAGGGGAGGGCGGGATTAAAGCTGTGGGTGATGACATAGGATAGATTGCTAATTTTCTTGTGGTTTGTGTTGTCTTTGTTACATACTGACCAGGAGTTCGTCTGTGATTCCAGAGACACCAAATACGAGGTGTGGCGTGAAATTAGCTGCTACATCTAATAGATTAGGAAGAGGAAAAGGCATATAACATTATACGGTTTTTTGCCTTTGGAAGCAGAATTTAATGGTCATTGGCTGCTCTGTCACCAACCCTCACACTAAGCACAATACAGATTTCTGCCACAGAGCAAATTGGGCTGTAGCTTTGCAAAGAAGCTTAGTTCAGGGCACTGGAGAATTACATTTTTTGGTCCAAGGGCTTTTCTTGATGAATTGGAGAAGAGCTAGGTATTTGTGTATAAACGTTTGGTTGACTGCTGTTTGGAGGCAGCATGCTGTATAGAGAATGTGAAAGTCTAGATTCCATGTAAACTCCAACATCAGCTGTGAGATGGAGGCCAAATTTGTCATCTTCATGCTTCCCTTTTTCCCCCATCTGTAAAATGGGTGAGTGTTGACTATCTTATTCCTGTCCTTTTAAGAATAGATCGTCAATAAGAGAAATCTAGATGGAATATTTTGTGCTTTTTAGAAGATAAGTAATAAGACTGAGCTGGTAAAATTTTTTTAATGCTTAGGATTTGGTGCTGCTTGTGAGCTTTTCCACAGCTTACTACGTGCCAGTCTTGCTGGCAGCCTTGCAGCTGTGAGAAACTTGGTGAGTCTGGCCAGGGTAGTTGTGATTTCTGCGGATCTGCACCTCCTAAGTCCGAAATAGTGGGAGGATGAGTTTGGATTTTTAGCTTGTTCTTTTGTTTTGATTGGTAGGAGATGGAAGTGGTAAGAAATTTCAGTCTTTTGCCAAAGGGTATACGCCTTTGTCCTCATTGTTGATTGGAGTTAATTATGGGCTTCTTTGCTGTATAATTTGGGGCTTTTACAGTAACCTCTGGGCATAATTCCCTTTGCTGTTCTCTGTCTTCCTATAATCATTTTAACAATTCTCACATTTTAGCTCTGAGCAAAACTTCCTTTTGCTTTTGAGTCTGGTTAGTGGATCTACCTGTGTATATATTGTCTTCAATGTATTATGAGTTAGCTTAGAGAACTCTTTGGCTTGTTTTTGTTTTTTGTTTTGAGGTGGAGTCTTGCTGTGTTGCCCAGGCTGGAGTGCAATTGTGCGATCTTGGCTTACTGCAACCTCCACCTCCTGGGTTCAAATGATTCTCCTGCGTCAGCCTCCCCGGTACCTGGGATTACAGGGGCACACCAAGATGCCCGGCTAATTTTTTTTTTTTTTTGAGACGGAGTTTCACTC